TGCACATTTATCATGCTGCAGCTAATCTAACAATAATATGGAAATAGTATAAATATCTAATAATAGAGGAACAGTTAACATGACACTATGTCTATGGGATAGAACACTATACACCCACAAAAAATCTTTCAAAGTGTTCTTTCAGCAGGATGGGAAAAGGCTCAAGAAACGGTGATGCTGAAGATAACTATCATTTATCACCAGACTGTATGGACAAATCTTACCTTGTTTAATCATTATTATAACTCTATGCTGTAGGTGCTATGGCATTCTCCATGTTACTTATGAGGAAACAGACTGAATCATTGGTTCAGCATAGTCACAGAGTTTATGCATTAGGGAGATAGGATTGAAATCAGGTACTAACTCCAAAGTTCCCAAGACAGGGACTAAACCCATACAATTATGCCAATTACGTAAACAAGTACAGACACACCCGGAAATGATTGATATATGGGCATTTCTTTTATAATGAGAGCTTTTATAACCCCAGTTGGATACAACATGATCACTTTACTTGCAAAGAAATATGGAGCTAGAATTTATGGAAAAAAATATTTGTATGTATTAAGGCTGCTTTTGCTTTGTTCCTCAGAAAAAAATTAATGATAATGATAGTAAGAACTTACAAGAGGCTAAAAGTTTTGATGGTAACAAATTAAGCCATACAGAGACCATCCAGCTTGGATTTGCTCATGGGTATCAAGGTTCTCTAGGGCTCACACACATAATCCATGGCTGTGTGTGGTAGGGAATGCTTTTTATTTGTTTCCTTTTACAAAAACCATTAGCATTAAAATTCCTGCAAGAAAAAAGATCTCTTTATTGTGAGTATAGTTCCTGGCCCTTTTCCCATTGAAACATTTGTTTTATAGTGGATTTTATTTTTTTTATGACATGAGATTTCCTAGGAACCTAGGTATCCAATTATAGAAGAATACTGTATATCAAAATATTTGAATAAATACAGATCTGGGATATGTACAGCTTTTGTTTCCTTTTTTATGCTTTTCCATATTTCTCAATTTTATTTTCGAAATGTTATGCTTTAAAAACATTTTAAAATTTGAGACCTAGAGACATTAACAAGACCTTAAACTGAAGAGCAAGTTACTTAGTCCAATCCCCTCAGCTTCAGATGAAGCAATAGGTGGAGAATGGCTAAGTGATTGATCCTGTAAAGACCAAGCCAGATCTCTTGCTCCGTGCCCCAAAGCGTTCTCTCTACACCACTGCTATGGCTTGAATCTGGAATGTCCCCCTAAAGCTCATGTGTTGAAGCCTTGGCCCCTAGTGCAGCCATATCCAGAGGTGGGGTTTCAGGGAAGTGATGGATCATGAGGACTCCGAGCTCATCAGTGGATTAATCTGTAGATAGGTGAATGGACCCTGGGAGGAGGCAGAAACTGCAGGCAAGTGGGGCATGGCTGGAGAAAGTAGATCACCGGGAGTGTGTCCTTGGGGACTGTATCTTATCCCTGGTCCCTTTCCCTACCCACCCCTACTTCTTGGCCGCCATGAGCTGAGAAGCTTTCCTCCACCATGCCCTCCTACCCATGATGTTCTGCCTCACCTCAGGCCCAGAGCAATGGACCCAGCCATTGACTATGGACTGGAACCTCTGAAACCATGAACCAAAAGAAACCTTTCCTCCTCCGAGTTGTCTGCGTCAGGTATTTTGGTGACAGCAACAAAAAGCTGACTAACACAACTGCCACCATGGTTTCACACCTCCAAGTGTGCAACACCAGCTTAATAGGGTCTTTCAGAATGTGGCCCTTCTCTCCCTTGGCACAGTATAGATGTTCCTGGCCACAACATCTGTAACTTCATTACCTTCTACATGACATCTGCAGTAGGGTATCAACATGGAATGACATAGCTATGGTTTTCTGCCCTGGCTGGGGATTAGAAATATGTGGGGAGCTTAACACCAAAACAAAAATGCACAATGAATGTCCCACCCCCACCTCAAACAATTAAACTGGAATCTCTGTGGTAGAGCCCAAAGGTCAGAATATTTTAAGAACTCTCCAGCTGATTCTAAAGTGCAGCCAAGGTTGGGGACCACTTGTTCAGAGAAAAGTAGAGAATCAGGAATGAGAAAAATGATCCCAATACCTTGGGTCAACTTTCTAGTAACTAAAAAAGAAAAGATAATAAAGCACTTTGAGTAGTAAATTGTTTTGCAAAGTGAAGAAATTAGTCATTTTGTACGAAGAGAATTTCTTAGAGTAACAGCCTCCACTTCCCATCTCCCATTTGCTCCTTAAGTCACTGCCTCTGAAACTTCTGCTCTCACCCCTCCTCTGTCACAGGCCTCTTCTGCCACCAAAGGCCCCCTTCTCGGGCCTCACCCTTTCTGATGTCCGGCAGCAGCTGCACCACTGGTTCTCTCCTCTTTCTGGAGACCTCCCTCTCCTCCTGACACTCTCCTCTACTCTTCCTCTTACCTCCCCATTCTCTCCTTCCTTCTTGGCCTCTACTACTGGCTCCGTTCCAAGCAGCTTTGAACATTGCCTTAAATGATGGACCCTCACCAGGGTCCCTTCATGGGCCCCCTCATGAACTCTTTTGGGCGATGTTCCCTGTGTTAACGCCCACATGCTGCATGCTCCTGGGATAAGCCTCAAACCTAAAACACACAAACCGGTGCTCCTATCCCCACAGCCAGCCCTCCTCCCCCTCCCTTCCTGACTCTGTGACACAGCATCAACACACATGCACCAGGGCGTGCAAACTACACACCTGAGCGCAGCTCTTGGCCATCGCACCTATGAAGTGTTTCCTGAATCAATTCCCGCCTCTGCCCCCTGCTCTCTTTGCCTCTAGTCACCACCCTCTTTCATAATCATCGCTTCCAAGCTAGTTCCTCATCATCTATCCCATTCCCGCTACAGTTTTCTTCCTATCTTTCTAACCTAACTATCTAACAATTTCTTAACATCATTTAACAACTTCCATGCCTTCCCAGTGTTTATGGAAGAGACAACAGAGGCCTCCTCTCGTCTGGCCCCACCAAACTTTCCAATATCCCTGCTCTCCCTCTTGGAACCGTTTCAATCAGGGGAAATGACATGAACAAAGGACGAGAAGAAAGTGAATGGCAGTCCCATCATGGCAAACCATTCAGCTTTGCTGCAGAACAAGTCCACAGAAGCCCACTCACCTGCTGCTGGCGGGCACCCACGCCCTCGGGGTACAGGTGCCTGTGCGAGTGCAGATAACCAATGGCCATCCGGAAGTTCTTCACAGAGATCACAGAGCCGTAGGCCAGGTCTGGGAGGAAGGGAGACAGAAGATGGAAGAGCAGCACTGTGTGAGCCTTCTAGGAGCAAAATATCAAGGACCAAGAGATGGGAAGGAGTACGCCCTCCCAACTTCCAAAGAAAAGGGACATCACTGCAGAGGGTGCACAGGACTCCTGCGCCCTCTACGAGACTCTGCAGGGCCTGGGGCTGCCTGACAGGGGCACAGCTGCCTTCTCACCCCCATAGGACCAACTCCAGAGGGACTTCCCACTGGGTTTCACATGTGCCCTGCCCTCCCCATCCTGAGCACTTCATAAGCAGCTGGGTGTTGACACTGTCATTTTCAAAGCACTACTTACAATAGCAAGTACATGGTCAAGGCTTGTACATGTATTCAATGGAATAAAAAAGAAGCATTTCATGTCTTTGTCTCGAACGTTCTCCAATACATAACATTATGACAGACTGTGCCTTTTGAATCTAGTAACATGTAAAATAACTGTTCAGTGGTTTGGATTTTTGAACTGTGAATAAAAACACTGTAAAATAAACTGCTTCCCTAAGAGCATCCCCTCCTCCTACTGAGAAGTCTCTTTTCCTTATTTTGGTCCCTCTTCTCAATCCCCTGTCATCTGGCTGCCCCACCATTCACCACTGCACTGAAACAGTTCCATCACTCCACCTACTCATTCAGTCCCTCATCAGCATGTGCTGGTTACACAGAAGATCCTAAGGTAGAGGAGGCTGACCGTAGCCCCGAAAGAGCCCTGTCTAAAGAGCAGACAGCTTCACACATTGACAAGTACAGGGCAAATAGGCAAGCTCTCCAGCAAAAGTGTGACAACATGTGACCTGGTAGGAGCCCAGAGCAGGCTAGGATGAATTCTTTCCCAGGCAGTAAAAAGAGGACCACCTGATAGAAGTGATGACAGCTAAGCCAGGGCTTTTAAATAACAAGTGGGAATTTGCTAAACTCCATAGCTCAGTTTTCCTAATTTCTCATGTAAGTCAACACCTCTGTCCCTGCACACGGCTGACGACCTTTGCTTCTTGAAAGACTCTGTTCCCCTTTCTTAATTCCACATCCCTTCACAGACTGGTCCTCTGCAGTCCTTCTCCCATTCCTCTTCCTCTTGTACTTCCTGGTGATTGTTCTCTTTCTCTTTTGAGCTTCCATATAGATCACAATCACTGCTGCAGCATCAGTTCCCCTCTGCTTGGCTGGTTCCTCTTTGAACGCATCAGCCCAAGCCCACTGGCCTCACTGCGGATTTCTTCTCAAAAGTCAACCCCTCTGATATCTACCCTTCTGTTATTGGCTGATATGAGGCGTCCCCCCAAAAAGCTAACATGTAAGAGAAAGCAGGAATGTCCAGAGGTGGAAATGATTAGATTAAGGCAGCTGTGACCTAATCAGTGGATTAATACATTTGGTGTATTTTTAAAAAATTTGAATGGCCTACTGGGTGGTAACCATAGGCAGGTGGGGTGTGGCTGAAGGAGGTAGGTCACTGGGGGCATGCCCTTGAAGATTATATTTTGACCCTGGTACTTCGCACTCTCTCTGCTTCTTGGCTGCCATGAGCTGAGGAGCCTTCCTCCACCTTCTTCCATGATGTTCTTCCTCACCTCAGGCCAGAGCAGTGGAGTCAGCCAACCATGCACTGAAACTTCTGAAACCCAAATTAAGCTTTTCCTCCTCTAAGTTGTTCTTGTCAAGTGGCAAAAACCTGACCACACACTTCCAAACCAACTTTTTCTCCTGCCTACTTCTCATTCCTTCCACAGTCTTAGAGGGCCCACTGTGCCCTGGGCGCTGTGTAAGGGACTAAAGAGACCAAAATGAGTAAGACAAAGTCCCTACCTCCAAGAAGCAGTCACCTGCACTCAAGTCCTCAGTGACATATTTCTTTCTCTCCTTCCATGTCCAGTCTTCCTTGAATGTTCCCATTTGCCTCCCCTGTGGCTGTCACCATCACACCTAGCTCATGTCCCTGTTCCTAGAGGACATCCCCTGTCTCTGATCCCGTACCCTCCCCAGCCATCCTACTCTTCCAGTGGTGTCATCTCCCAGCTGCACAGCCTTGCTGGTCTTCCCCTATTTAAAGACCTCCAGCAGCTCTCTGATACTCCATTGGAACATCTCAAACCCTCACAATGTGGGTCCAACCTACTTTCACAAACTTACATTCCAGTACCTTTCAGCACACAACCTGGGCCTAGAGCTTCACCCCGTCCTCAGCTTTGATCATGCCATCGCTTCAGTCTGACTTGGACCCCCTCCTCTCCTGTTCACTGACTGAAAGCTCCCCACCCCTCCAGGGCCCAACTCCAAGTCAATCCACTCTATGCAGCACAGATCCACTCCAGCTGCCCAGCAGCAGTGACCTCTCATACCCTTCAATTCCAGCACTCTGGGTTCCCTTTTAGTGCTCAGAACATACTGATTACTCGGCCTTACTGTGTGGAGCCCTCTACCCCAGGCACTGTCTCTGGAGGGTGAGTGCCTGCGAATGACCCATCTGTGAACAATCAAGTGGATGGAGTCTCAGAACACTGCAGTGGAAACAACAGCTGTCCCTAGGGGCCTTGTTCTGTCACCAAATTCTCTCTCACTAGCCTTCCCACAGAGCTGGTTCTGACAGCCACAAAGAAGTTACTTGTTAGGGTCAAATAGCTTGCTGCAAGGGAGCACATCCTGACGTGCTCTCTTGAGAATGTGTACCAGCCTACTGGTCTTGGCTCGCTCTGCCATCTTTGAGCTAAAATAACTCAAGCTTGATCAGACTTGTCTTTTCCAATTCAATTCCCAGGAAATGGCTCTGCCCTTCCTCTGTGCAGAGACCCAGAACACTCACGTTCAGGGACGGAAGCATTATAAAGGTTGTTCCCTGAAAGCCGGGCCTGGAAGGCGGAACTGAAGAAGCCATCACCAGGACCACTGTGAGAGAGGAAGAAGAAAGAGTCAGGTTGATAGAGTATAAATGGTGATTTCCCAGGAGGCCTTAGTTAATTTAAAAGAATTAGAATTAGACTGGCACTGTGGTATCATGGGACAGTTGTGGGTGACGAAGTCAGAGAAACTGGGTCCAATCCCAACTCAGCCACTTACTAGCTGGATGACTTAGGCAATATAACTAACCTTGCTTAGCCTGAGCTCATTTATAAATTGGAAATTTTAAAAAACAAAAGAACTCACAAATGATTATGATTAAATGAGATCATGGATACAAAATGCTAAACACAGTTCCTGGGAACTGTTGCTGCTGGCATTTAATTACTATTATCCTCACCCCCACTATACCCCCTTATAACACCCATCTTTGATAAGGTCAAGGGCCTCTATTAGAGATAAAAAGAAACTTGGCTATTAGGAAATTTTTCTTCCTGGCCTTTCCAAGCCCTTGGGACACCCAAAGGAGAGAATATGGGGGCAAAGAAATAAAAAAAAAAAAAACCCTGCCCCCCACCCACCATCCTAACCACAGCCCTAGGAAATCATGCAGCTCATTCATGGTCTTAGGAGCCAGGGGAAGACCAAAAGCAAGATGCCAGAAGGGTTCTGGCTGTACCTTTTATTCAGCACTGTGATGTGAACAGCAAAAATGGCCACGTAGAGCGCCAGGGGCAGCACTATAAGGCACAGGATGCGAGCAGTCAGGTGTTTTCCCACAGTCACCTGCAACAGAGGCCAGTGCAGGGTGAGGGCATATGGGACCCCATTATTCTTTATACCTTCCGTGGCATCACATAAGTGTTTTTAATGTATAAGCCATAACCATAAAAAAGGCCAAAAGGAAAGAAGAGTAAGTGGAAACCCTAATCCTTTCTTTCTATAACCTACCCACCTCCAAACCCTGTTCTCACTGCACCTCCAGGCCCTGCACCAGGACCCTGGACTGTTACAGACAAGGTGCAGCCACTGCACACCAAGGCCCTCCGCCGTCTGTCACACTGGACCCCCTGCACTTTCCCAATATTGCCTGGACTGTGCCAGCCCCACCACTTAGCCAGCTGTCCTCTGCCAGAACTTCAGCCTTGGCTTCCTTCCAGAGGCCTCCTGGAGCACCTGCAACTGGGGTGGTGCCCTCCTCTATGCACTCACAGCACTTACCAGCTGGCCTATAGTGCCCGATTACTTCTCTCCCTCTCCTCTCTTTGGATTCCAGAGGGCAGAAACTGTGTTTCAGCTATCTGTACCTTCCTAGCATCTCACATTCAGTGGATAGTGTCTATGTATTTTCTGAATGAATAACTAGTTTGCTGAGAGTTGGGTTCAGAGGTGATGGAGAAGCACCTGCAGCAAAGCAGTTGAGGCCTGGATTCAGCCCAAGTATGAGCCCAGGTCTCCCTATATGACTATGGGAAAGCCATGACCTCTTTAGTTCTCCATTTATTCATTTGTAAAACCAGGGTGATAACTACTCAATTCATAGAATTGTTATGAGGGGTAAATGATATAATGAAAGTAAGGCATTTCTCATGGTACAAGCACCAAATCAGCCCTTTATAAATGATGATATTATACTAAGCCCTAAATGCCTTCCCAGCCTCCCTATGTGAAGACCTGGATCCGAAAGGAGAAACTGGGAATTCAAAAAGTCATTCTATCCATTTTAACTAAGGTCTCAAGTAGTCAGTATCTGCCACACACTTGACACGAGCCCAGCTGGACAGATCCCCTGGTTGGGTAGTTGTAGAACATTTAGAAGACATTACAGGAACAAATGCCAAAAGAGAATGTGAAGGGTGTTAGTCCATCCTCTTCTTTATGCTGCTCCAGCTCTCACACCAGGCCCACTCCCTGATGCCCTGCTGTCTACAGAGGGCAGTTGGGTCTAGTCCAGCTGGGGCCCAGGACACAGTGGCTCCCTAACCTGTGGCAGGGACAGACCACTGGGAATGATGCTGGGGAGCAAAGACATTCTACAAGCACTTGGGTTCTCACCAATGAAAGACTCAGGTCTCCAAACAGGTGCCAAAGGTCTGAAATGGTGTTCAACCCCACCTGCACGATGATAAAGAGGCCAACAAACTTGACCCCTAAAGCACCAGCAAGACTGATGCCAGTCAGGCTGAGCCAGGACCACCAGGAGGCAGAGAAAGGCCTGGAAACCAAGACACAAGAGTTTAGTTTGGCAGCTAGAACCAAGCTCAAAAACAAGAGCAGCAGTGGGACAAAGCTAGAGCTCAGAGAGGCTGTGCTGCGCCCTGTGCCTTGGGTGAGGAGGCCCAGCTCCATGGATGTGGTCTGTGAAATCCCTAAACTGCAGACAAACCAGTGTGAGAGTGAGCAGAGTATTTTTCTAGCAAGATGGTCCAGGGTGTTCCTGGCCAAGTGTAGGGCATAAGATACACAGTAGGCTTTTTTCACTAGTAACCAACCAAGCAGAATTAAAGGAAAATCCAAAGAAGTCCACAGGATTCTGTCATCTGGGGATCTGTGAAAGTCAGCATTTAATGAGTGCTTACTATGCGTCAGGCACCATTCAAGTCCTATACACATATGAACTCTTCTCCCCACAACCCCATGAGGAAGAGCCAGTAATTATCCTTTTTTAATACACAAGAACACCAAGGTACAGAGAGGTTAAGAAATACAGCCAACAAGCAGTAGAATCTGGCATTTAGTTCCAATGTTGATGCTCTTAACCATTTTGTTGGCTGAAGCCAATGCCTCAGTACCTCTGCATCTTCATACCTCCAGTCTTTAGCATAATACCCAGTGCATAGTATCCATTCAAGAAACGGCACATAGAAACGGGGGTGGTAGAAACAGAAGATAACTCAAAGCCCAGAGTGAGCTGATAGGCACTGGCTCAGGTGTGATTAGCATAATGTGGCTTAATGAGTCTGGCCATGGGTGAAACATGCTGACTTCTGGAAAAGCCTAGGAGGGGCCAGTTCTTTTGTTTGAATAGAACTCCCTGGGAGTTCTATTCTACTCTCTTGAGACAGAAGGATGATCTAGAAAAGATTATTTTGCAAGTAGATCAGATCAGCTTTAGAACTGACCAGGGCCTGAAAGGATCCTCTTGTCTGGTATAGAACATTCATCATTAGGTCAGGACTGGATACATGCCCTGAGGGTAGGGAAACAATTCTAGGCAGCATCTACCCTGGTGCCCCACTCCCAGGATGGAGAATTGAAGGATACATTGTCCTACATCTCTTAACCAGCCTTGGTGCTAAAGGCATGCTCAGCAGAGTGAGGGAAGCTATTAGGACTCTTCTATAACATCCATAAACCCCTACCCACTGTACCCACACTGAAAACCTAGTAATAATGTTCTTTAAAAAGATAATTATATTTTCTCAATTTTACATCAAGCAAATATAAAAGCATTTATAAACAATTTTTAAATGTATTTATATTATCTCTAATGGACGATCTAAATTTAAAAACAAACAAATGAAAAGTATGCTTTCTTAAACTCAGTTTCAAGACAAGTCCTTTGGGCACCCACTCTTGTCTGGCTCTTATCAAACTTCTGGGGCTGCCAGTTTCTGACCCTCCCCTCCCAAAGATAGTGTTTCTGACCTGTCGGCGCAGGAGTTGTACTTGACCATGCTCAGCATGGCAGCCATGATGAAGAACATCAGGATGGGGTCAAGGAGGATGTACTGGGACAGAGTGAGGCATCCTGTGTCTGAAAAACATGAGCTCACAGGTCAAAATGCAGTCAAGACAGGGATCCCCCTGAAAACCAAAAGACCCAACAGTAGAAATCAGTCTCCCTTGTCTAACTGCCATGAGCATTTGGGTAGGCAAGACTGGTTGGGCCACTGAGTCACCACGGGATCAACAGAGAGGTAGGAGGCCATAGCTCTGGGGCATACAAAACCCCATGATGAGAAGCAGTATCTGATACTGCCTCTAGGCCCTCAGCCCAAAAAGGATTATGTCATATACTCACTACAGCCCTGAATCAAGTCTTCCCCATTTCCACCACCAAAAAAAGGTCTGCCACCTTGCTCACACAGATGTAAGATAAATATATCTATAAAAGAATCTTAGCATTTTATACGAAATTACTGTTAGGGATTGATTCCCCATATAGGTGTCAGAGTGGGGTTTTTTTTGTTCTTGTTATTTGTTTTTTTATCTTATCTCTCATTACATCATGCCTCTGCTTAAACCTTCCAATGTCTTCACATTTCACATAGACTAACAAATTCTCATGATGGCTACCAAAGACTGCATATCTGCCTCCCTGTCTAACCTGTTCATCTCCACACTCTGCCTCACTCACTCCACCCTCGCCACAACAACCTTTTCTGTTGTTCCTTGATTCCACTAAGCCTGGCCCCTATGTGAACACTCTTTCCTCAAAATTCTGCATGACCCTATCCTTCAGTTCACTCAGGTCTGCCAGTGCTACCTTCCCAGGGAGTTCTCCACCACCCACCCTACCTAAAACAGTACACTGACCTCCATTACTCTAGCCTTAGTCTACATTGCACTGACTACTTAAGATGTTCCACTAATCCACTTGCTTATTTATCTGTCCCTCTGAAGAGTAAACGCCACAACAGCAATGTTTCCTCAGTATATTCATGGAGGCCAAGCTAAGTGGCCTGGCATAGGGGAGGTGCTTGAGAAATAGGTGTTGATGACAAATGAAGAAATGACTTAATGACAAATAACTGAAGAAGATATTAAAGATACAAGCCACCAGTCCTCTATAGAAAGATGCTATAATCTTGAAATACATCCATCAAAAACAAAGGTATACACCTGTCAAAACCAACTCCTAAAATATCCACCTAAATTGGTCTGGACTTCCTTAAATATTAACCAAGTCTTGAATTCACTTTCAGAAGAACAAAGCTAGCAACAAGATTGACTTCTACAACTCTCAACTTATCCACGTGAGGAACCACACAAAATATTTAAGTTTCTACTGCTGTCTCCTGCCACACAACTACTTCTGACTTTGCATTTAGTTGTGATTAGTTTAGGGAATGCAAACTAATCTGCGTATTAATCTAAGAGAAGCAAAATTGAAATATAAGCTTCCTTTAAACATACACACATGTTCAAAGACAAATTTGTCTTATTATCCAAATTCAAATGCAGACTTGGAGAGAGTCTACCCATGCCAACACTTCCCTCCATTAATATAAAGGCTTGCTACACAGAAGTACTTACATATGTATTACTAGTGAATAAAATGAAATTGGCAATAATATATTTTACCCAATTCTAAAATTACTTACGAACTGGGCCCACAGATGGGATTCTGGTATGTACTGAGCCTCACAGTGTGGCAGTCCCCTTCCCAGAACACATGGGACGAAACAACTTACCAAAGGTGAGGAGGGCGGCAGTGAGCAGTGCTGCTGGGAACGACTTGGACAGATCCAACACGGTAAGGTAAGCAAAGGGGACCAGCCAGGAACCAAGGAACGCACAGAACTGCGGAGGGAACACAGTGGTTGTCAGACAAGGTATGATAACCATTAGGGGCTTACTTGTTGTACCTGCTGTGGAACAAACAAATGTTTGAAGACAGAGGACACTGATGAAAGGATGACTTTGGCGACCTAAAAATCAACTAAAAAGCCTATAAATAAGAAAGGGGAGATGTAACAGTGAAGAGTCAAATCCAGCAACATATGTGTTTCCACAGAGTGACACTGCACACTGGCATGGCAGCAGCCAAGTTCAGTCAGGACAGTGACAGGACTGCCTTACCACTGCTAGCTAGGACCTTGAGAGTCATGGCTTACCTCCACCTCCCCATCACCTGATGGGGAAATAAGAAGTCCTACTGCACAGGTTTACTTTGAAGATTAAATGAACTAAAGGTTTATTATTGCACAGAAAGTATTTGGCAAATATTAGATTCTATCTCAAAACTGGGGTACAAGTTGAGAAAGACCTCTCTCAAGGCATCTTAATATTTTAGAGAATTCTAATATTACTTCTGTAATATCTCTCCTGATTCTTTTCTTCAATTACAACAGATACCACTCTTTAACCTACAAGATGTACTTTGATTTTGGAAAAAAGATTGCTCAGCACTTTCATATCCAGAAGATTGTTTTTTGTTTTGTTGTTGTTACAGTTGTTTATTTAAATCTCCAGGCCTCTTTCATCCCCCTACCTGCCTACCAACAGCAAATTGATAAACCCAGAGAAATGGTCAACTCATTTGGGTCTTCACCTTTGTAAACAGAAAATAATATGCCTGAGTGTGAAAGAGAATGAATGAGGCTGTTGAATTTGGCCTTCTCAATTTACATAGCAAGCCCACCGTGAGTCAGGCCTATCTCCAATTATCTCTGCTACAACATGTTCAAGAGTCACTGCAGGACACAATCATTTAAGAACATGAACCTGCAGATAAGGAAAATAAGAAACACTTATTTAATCTTCAGAGTAAATCTGTGAAGTAGGAATTCTTATTTTCATGAATATGCCTGAAATTGTCATGTGCAAAGAAGCAAAAACCTAGTGATAGGGTGTGGGGATGCCAGAATCTTCACAAAAGGCTTGCACAGGTAGGCAGGACCAGAGCAGCTGTGGCTGCAGAGGGGAAGGAAATGCCACCTGCCAGCGCAGAGGCCAGGGTAGGGATGCAGAAGACTCCTGACTGGGTCCTGGCTGCTCTCCAACCTGAGCTCTGATGCTGCACACAGGCAGCGCCACAGGTGACAGCGAGTGCTTACTCCTATGGAAACTGTGTTGTCCGTGGCCTCCCTCCCTTCTTCCCACCTCAGTTCTGAGTCGCCTCTCCTCTCCCTGCTGCCTCTATGAGTGCCCCTTTATCTACACCTGCCATCACTCTGGGGCTTCCAACTGTAGCTTTTCTGACCGAGCGTGGGCCCAGGATTCAGTCAGTCCATATAAAGTCAGGAGGACTCACTCCTCTCATTCCCATGTAGCTGTGATGCTCATATTTGTCCCCAGGCTTCTGGAACAAAAAGGTACCATCATATCCACTCAGGTAGCCAGCAAGACCTATCAGCATCTGAGAAAAGAACAAAAAGATGAGAGACCTTGGGACATGATTCCTGTCCCCTGAATTTCCCTCCGGCTGCACCCGTAGCCTTTGCCTTCCCTTGACAACTGTCCACAGAGGAGTGGCCAAGATCACATTTTCTCCTGCAGCTGCTGCAGAATAAAGAATTCTCTGTCTGTTGAGCTCACTGCCTGAAACAAATCCTCTCTTGTGTTATGGCAAGTTCTTGGAAAATAGTGTAAACTAAATACTGAGGAAGGAAAAAGTTCCCACAGTATGAAGGGCAGGGCCAGTGCGGGGCTCTCACATTCAGCCTTTGTCATTTGTTAGGAAATGGCATCTGTGCAGGGAGGTCATGGGTGGACGCTGATTCCCGGGAGATTGGTTTATTGAAAGGAAACTCAAGTTCCAAGTCATGATGAGGAGGGAGAAAAGTGAGCAAGTAGCTACACACTAGGAATAAGGAGAAGGGAAGAAAATAAGAGAGAGGAATGAAGATAGGCATTTCCCCAGGGGAGAAAAGAAAAAAATGCCAGTTTACCATCTGCAAATGGAGCTACAATAGCACCTCTTTTATCAGGTTGTCCGGGGTTTACATGAGACAGGACATCACCGCTCTTCTCTTTATTGTTCTTGTGTTGTAAAGCAGATGGGAAGAGGCATGACATTTTCTGTCCTTTCCCAATTTCAAAATAAGCCACTTATCCTCCCTCTTTCTCCACCCCTGCTTCCTGCAGGGACCTTCACCTGGTCTCTAGCCTATGCTCTCAAGTGCCCCATGCCCACCTGTCACAGATCACTACTCTCGCCCCTGCCCCTATCCCAAGCACTGCTTTCTCCAGGATCACTTCACCCTTCAGCATGGGCCAATTCCCGCCCTTGGTGTCTAGGATCTAGTTCTCCAGCAGGGAGAGGCGCCTGAATGCACGCCAGAGCTGACCCACAGGCCTTCTCAGAGATGCTTGTTTTTAAAAGAGTAAAGGAATCTAATTGTAGAATTTCTAATTTAAAAACACATAAGAGGAACAGGTCAAAGAAAGTGTATGCAGGAGTGGGAGAAGAAAAGAAGTTTTCTTCCATGTGGGCAGTCAGCTCTTCTAAGCTATTTCTGCTTTGTGCAATATACTCCTTCTATTCTAAATTGTTTTAAAAATTGAAATAAAGTTTACTTAATATAAAATTCACCACTTTAGCATAACCAATCGGTGGCTTTACATATATTTACAATGTTGTACAATCATACCAGTAACTAATTACAGAACATTTCACCACCCAAGAAGAAACCCCATACTTATCTGCAATTGCTCCCTAATTCTCCCTCCCCTCAGACCTGGCAATCACTAACTGACTTTCAGTCTATATGAATTTGTCTATTTTAGACATTTCATAATATAATATACAGCCTTTTGTGTCTGGCTTCATATATTCAGCATGACATTTTCTTTTTTTTCTTTTTTTTTTAATACTTTTTGTTCAATGGACCTTTTTATTTTTTTTTATTTATTTGTATGTGGTGCTGAGAATCAAACGAACTCAGTGCCTCACACATGCTAGGCAAGCATGCACGCTACCACTGAGCCACAACCCCAGCCCTTAGCATGACATTTTCAAGGTTCCATGTTGTAGCATGTATCAGAACTTTATTCCTCCTTATGACTCAGTAATATTCCATCGTAGAGACATAACTCATGTGTTTATCTCTCTACTAGTGGAGAGACTCTCTCTCTCTTTCTGAGCCCAGAGGATCCCTAAAACCATCCATGATTTCATATGAAAGTTGCTGACCTGGAATGTCAGGGAATTCTGTCAGAAAAGTCTAAAGTCCAAGAATTAAGTTCAAAATCAACACCTGGCTCCAAGACCTAGGAACCACCCTGAGGAAAGCTGCTATTTGCCATGCTGCTCACCTTTCCCAGAGGCGGGTGCACGTCAAAGAAGAAGGTGCGGTTGATATAGTAACTTCCCATTTTTCCAAAGTGAGTCTCATCCCAACTAAAGGAAAAGCAGAATGCCTTAATAACACATAGTTAAAATCACAGTTAAGACTAAAGACAATGAGTTTCAAGCATTAACAAGAAAATGTGGATTTAAAAAATATTTGTGATACAAGTGATTTGAGAAAGCAGGGCATTAAGGTGGTTATTAACCTTCATTTTGAGAGATAGGAGAAAGGTTAGCAAATATTTATCAACCAGTGACTATAAATTTAAGTTAAATATATACTTATTCAGTATTTTGAGTTTTTATCTATTTATTTTAAAAGGGTAGAGTAGTCCTGTATGGGAAGGTTTGTATGTATGAGTTTTCTTCTGAGTCTGTGACCTTATGACTCTGAGACTCTCTGCTACTGAAATGTACATTACATGTACTATGCCATTGGGCAACTGGTCACAGAGAGCTGTCATGCCATGATGGCCACAGGACTCTGACTTTGCTCGGCGACCTTGAGATGAGCAACCTGCTGGGCTCTGACTGACCTTGTTATGATGAAGTACTAGTGTGGAAAAACTGAGCATTTTTACTACGAACATATCTAAAACTTGTCCTCACTGCATAAGTTATTTTATAAGTGAATCTAATACATTTGCTTTTACAAATGTGAAGTTTTGTTCTTCTATACACCACATAAGCTTTTTTATATCCTATATGAGGACTTTAAGCCACATCATAGCCACATCACCCAGCAGAGCCTGGCTGTTTCTGTTCATTATTCTCTTCCTGAAGCTCAAAGGAGGGGTTGTTCTCTAGTGACTGTCCCACCCAGGCCAGCTTCCATGAGCAATCACTACCAACCTAACACATCAGGGGCAAACTGCTTTTCCAAAAATTTATATATATATATATATATATATATATATATATATATA